GTAGAGGTGGTGGGGAGGGAGCCTTCAGGACAGTAATACCAGCCTCAAAGGCTCAGGCACATGGAAGGCATGAAGTGGCGTGGTGCTGAGGGGTAGGCACACAGGGTACTCGGTGGAAGGGACTCAGTCTCAGGGCCTGAGATGAGGCTGGCAAGCAATGCTAAGCAAGTGTGGCTGGGGGGGGGAGGGGGGAAGCTCTCCCGTGTGGTCTCAACAGCCAGTCACAGAGACCCTGAGCAGGACTATGGACAGAACTGCCGGATCCCCTCTGAGGTGGTCTCTCCTCTGGGAGAAGCTCCTGGTTGTCCCTACATCCTTCTCTTTTTTTCTCATCTTAGTAGAACCTTGTAATTGATTGTTCGATTGATTGATTTTAAGGTTTTTGCCATAGGGCATATGCACTTGCCGGAGAGAGAGATAGAGAAACAGTGAGAAGGAAGGAGAGAAATCACCCTCCCCTGGGGGGAGGGAATGGCTGTGCTGCAATCCCTTCTCCATTCTCCTCCTGGGATTTGGGGTATGCTCACACAATTGTCCAGCGTGATTTTCAAGCCGCCAGATCTGAGACTAGAACTGCGAACTCAGCCATGTGGGAGCCCAGCACCCCAGCTGCTACTCTACCTGCTGGCCTGAAACTTGTTATTTTATTCGAAATGAAGACTACATTTCCCAGCATCTCTTACAGCTGGATATAACCGTGGTACAAAGCGGCTAACAGAATGTAAGCAAAAGTGTGTCTGGTTCTGCCCTCCCACTCCCCTTCCTGCCTTCCCTCCGGCTAAATGTGGGGTGGGGAGCCATCTTGGGTTACTGCAGAAGAGGCCAAGCCCCTGGGGGTGGAGTGAGTGCACCCTAACTTGGCAGAACAGACCTGCCACTGCACATTGGACTTGTAGGCAAGAGGGCATTTCCGCCCTTGTTGCTTAGGGTCTCTCTGTTATGAGGTGACATATCTACAGCCTCACCAAATTCAACCTGGAAGTTGTAAAAACATGGTGGACATCCAGGGAGGCCGTCGCTACAAAAGAATGCTCTTGGCATCAAGGATGCAGAGAGAGGATTACAGCTGGGGTGTGGGGCCCTCGTTTCTGTCGGGAGTAGCTCTAAGCTCTCCAGGAGGAAAGAGATAAAGGATTATAGGAAAAGAGGTCAAGGGAAAGCCCTGGGAGTTCTCCAAGAGGACCCGGGTACCCACCACAGTGCCTGGCACATAGTAGGTGCTCAATAATTAGTGGTTATTGTTACCAAGAACTATCAGGCATTCACCTGTTCATTCAGCAGATCTGCATGCACCTGCGAAGTGAGGGACTGTGTGGCTAAGTCGGTGGTTCTAGCTGACAACAGCAATGTCAGCTGCTGTTTGACACTGGGCACACGCCAGACTCTGGTTTGCATCGTGTGCCTCACCTCTTTTTATCCTGATACTGACCCTGAAGATAAGTGAGTTGATCCTGTTTTACAGGTGAAGAAGCAGGCTCTTGAACAATCGTGACCTGCCAGGGGGCATGCAACCACCCAGGGGCAGATCTGGGGGTTAGATCCAGCCCGCCGAGGCTCTACAGTCCTCAGGCATAATCGCACCGCTACACCGCGTCCCTGGTGGCACCCTAGTCCTTCCCAAGAGGCAAATATGGATCAGCAGTTAGCATAGACTCCGGAGACAGACAGCCAGCGTTTGGATCTAGCTGTGCCATGATGGATGTGTTGCTAGCTGTTCTCTGCCTCAGCTTCCTCATCTGTATAATGGGATTCATAATAGCAGCTTGAACATTCCAGTGGGTTGTAAAGTTCTAAGGAGGTTTTCACGTGCCGAGGATGGTACCTGGTACGCAGCTGTGACCCCCAAGAGTCACACAGTAGGACCACTTGGGGAAACAGAGCTCAACAAAGAGATCAACAACAGAGGGTAGAAGGGGAAGCTGCAGGCTGATGACTAGAGAACTCCTGGGACGGTGGGCAGGAGGAGCCACCAGCTGGTCAGGCACCAGAACAGGAGGGAATTGAGACCAGAGAGGCTCAAGGTTTCCTCTAGAGGCCCAGCAAGACAGAGAGGAGGGGTGCCAGAATGCAGACCTCTGGGTCCAGCCTCTCCCCTGCCCCATAGTTCCTCTCTTGAACTCCACCAGTGTCTGAATTCTCCAGGCTAGATTCTCTCTGAACACATGCCCCTGGTGGCTGGCGGCGAGCACTGCTGAAGTCAGGGGTTCAAGGCACAGGGAAGCATGGATAAAAGTTTAGAGGCACATAGAAAGCACAGCCTATTGGGACACGATAAGTCTGTGAGTGGGTGCGAATGTATGCGAGTTCATGTGTGCGAAGTGTACATGTGTAGTGAAGGTGTGCATACGGGTGTCCAGGGTGGCGAGATGCGCATGGGCAGTGAGGTCACCCGGGGTCGCGCTGTGGACCCTTGTACACCTGGACAGGTGCTCTGTGACTCCACTTGGGGCAGAGGTCCAAGTCAGGGAGGCAGATGTTTCCTTTGGCCCCAGCAGCACTGTTGGCTGGTTGGTAAAATTGATTGAATGTTCAGAACTCAGGAGACTCGTGGTCCCTATCTGAATTTCCTCCTCCTCCTGGACAACCAGCTCGGACCGCCCTGGACCCCTATGCTAGAGCAGCAGGCACCCTTATAGAAAAGATCACGTGGCCTGGAACCCTAGCCACCACACGGCGTTGTGAGAGGGACAGTGGCTGCCTCCGCAGAGTGCAGAGCGCATGAGTGACAACAAAGGCACACATGTGTTCATGTACATCAGGCCTAGGCCTTACCCAGGATCATCTGAGTGGGGGCCTTGGGCCAACAGCGGGGTAGTGGCAGGAGATGGCCTGGAGAAGGCGACAGGACGTCTGACACAAAGAAGAAGAGAAATTGCTCTGAGGCCATTCTCAAGTAGCCCTGCTCTGACTCAGGGGCCGGCCGGATGTCTAGGAATGGGTCCAGCTTTTGTGCCTCTAAACCTTTGCTCCACTTGGGTCACCATTGGTAGAGGCCTCGTGGTCTGAGCTTTCAGGGAAACTGCGGTCAGCTGCTCACAATGCTTTGGACTGTCCCCAAACCTTGTGAGGCTCCGTCTGGGCAGGAAGTGGTGGGTTACACCTGGGAGCTTCTGGTTTCCTGGCCCCAAATGAGAACATCAGCAAATTCACAAATACGTGCACGCAAGTCTCCCACTAGATGCAGCAGAAGGCCAGAAGCACCCCTAAATGTCCTTTCAGCCCTCCTCTGCCTCTGTCGCCACTACCCCCACCCCGACACGGGCCCACCCTATCTGCCCTCAGAGCAGCTGCCACACGGGTCTGCAGGCCTCCACCCCTCCCTCCCGCCTCCACTCTCCCATGGATAAGTGACTTTCCAACCCCACGTCCCACATGGCATGCCTGCAAAGGGTTTCAAATATAGGAGTTCTGATTCCCTGCTGTGGCTTACACGGTTCTGCGCAGGGACCGGTCCAGCCTTTCCCCTCCTGCTTCATCTCCCACCCCTTCCCCCCTCCCTTCTTGCTCAGCCAAACGTGGTTTTCTCCCCTGCTCAGGCTCTCCCTCACCTCAACACCCGTGGTCTGGGACACTCCTCTTCTGACTAGTTCCTACTCCACCTTCAGGTCAACATCACCTCCTCCTGGAAGCCTACTAGGACCACAGAGCACTGAGGGAGGTCCCTCATGGCTTCCTGGGTTCACCCATCTCCTCGCATGGTCGCTACCATTTACTGCTTGTTCCCCATTTAGACTGTGAGTTCTGTAAATCCTTGCCGGGTGCAGGAATAAGGAGACTGGGCTCCAGCCCACACTAGCCCTGTGTGACCTACCGCAACTGTCTCCATCTCCCCCATCCACGGGGACAACAAGGCCTCTCTCCTGGGCCGACTGTACAGATCACGGAGGAAGGGGAGCATGTGGCTGGGATGACATGTCCCTGTGAGCCTGTGAGCTCCCCTGCTGTGATAGAAAGGAAAGGTGAGGGCCTGAAGCCAGCCACAGCTTCCTCCAGCTCATTTTGGGACCCGCTCATGGCCCGGGGTCCAGGGGAGCAGCTTGGAGGTGGCCTGGAGACCCAAGCAGCAGTCTCCAGAGGGGCCTCCCTCGGGGCCATGTTCACCTGAGCATGCTGGCCTTAGGAGAGACACTGGGTCAGCCCCTCTCATAAAGCACCAGGGCTTCCAGGCTGGGGTCAGAGGAACTCCGGGAGCTGTGAGGACTCAGAGAAAGGGCCCTCACTCCTGTGTAATGGAGCCGGGCCAGAGAGGACAAGACAGCACACACACCCAGGCTGGGCGCACCTGGAAATTCCAGGTCCTCATCTCTTCACATAGGAGAGGCCTAAGACCGAAGGGGCTGTTTGCTCAGGGGGCTCCAGCTGGACAGACCCTCCTTGAGATGGCTCTGGAGCTGGCCCTGCTGGGCTGCTTCCACACCCCTGGCCATGGCTGGGCCCCAGGTCCCCGATCTGGGTCCTGATACCACCTGCCCCTCCCCTCCATCTGGGGCACTCACCTGCCTTCTCCCGGCAGCCTCTGGGGTCGTATCAGCAATGGTAGGAAGGGATGTCCCTGGCTTCTGGCCTCCTCTCTGGCTCCCATCCTGGGGGCAAGAGTCCCACTCTCTTCTCACCTCCTCGCTGTGGGACGTCCCCCCTGTGTAGCACCGGGGTCCACTGTTATTTGCTCACCCACATCACACATCTACTGAGCACTTACTATGCACAGACCCAGTGGGAATACAACGCAGAGCAAGGGACAGGACTCCTAGTCCCTGTGGGGGACATTCTTATGGAAGAGCACAGACAGGCTGCTGAGTCAGTCAGTGATAGATTTAATAGGAAGATGCTCAGAGTCACAGAGAAAAACAAAACAGGGGAGGTGGGGAAGAATGAGAGGGAGGTCAGGGAGGGCTTCCCTGAGGAGGTAGCAGTTACGCAGAGGTCTAATCGCAGAGCAGCTGAAGCTGTGGGGACATCTGAGGGAAGAGCAGTCAGGCAGAGGGAAAAGGGCACAGTCCAGGGAAAAGTCCTGGGATAGGAGGGACTGGAGAGCTGGCCTCCTGTCAGAATAACCGGGAGCCCCAGGAGGGCCAGAGCAGGAAAGTCTGGGGGGAGCTTGGTGCAAGGTGAGTTCCGAGGCGACAGGCCAGGCCCCAGTAAGGAGTGCAATGGTCCTCTGGAGACACCTGGCTCAGACGGGCCAGGCAGCCTGGGCACTGACTGACTGGACCCTCATGGGAGGTGGGTAGTGGGCACTGGCTTCTCCCTGACTCCTCGGGTGTGACCACACACTTGTGGCAACTGGGGAAAGAAGGGCTCAGGGAGGGGAGCTATTAATGTGTCCCTTCCAGGCCACAGAGCCACCACCTGGATTTCTATCCAGGACACTGTCCACCTCTTAGAGGCCTGGGGGTGAATCTGAGTTCCTGGACACCTGCCGAGTCCATCCGACAGCAACCGAAAACCACACAGGTAAACTGAGGGAGTGCGTCCCGTCAGAACCTACACACGTGGGCACACACACACACACGTTTGCATACAGAAACACACGCCCTCCCAACACCCTCCCTGTGCATGAGCCCGTCTCCTCCGCCTCTGCGTGGCTGTCACCCTCGTCCCAACCCCTTCCGGCACCCTGATCTGCAGATGTTAAAGGTGGAGGGGGGGGAGAGCCAAAGGAGCCCCGCTTCTTTCCAATCGTCATGCTCTGCCTACCATTGGTGACCTCGAACCGGTTGGAGAGCGAGGCCCCTCCCTGGGCCAGACTCCCGGCCCCCAGCGCCCTCCTGCTCCACGCCCTGCCACCACCTCCACAGGTGGCCCTGCCAGGAAAGCGCAGAGCGCTGGCACTCCGGCTTGACCCTCAACCCTGCGCCTGAGGCCATGGCACCGAGGGACCTCGAACCGCGCAGCTCTGAGAGCCAGGTAAGCCCAAGGATGGGCGCCGAGCTCTGCGGAGCGCTTCTGGGAAGGGAGTCAGGAGGCCCCAGGATTCCCGCGCTACAGCGCCGAGGGAGATTGCAAAGGGACGCTCTGACGCCTTCACAGACCCGCAAAGCGAGGTCTAGAGCGAGCTGATAAGGAGCCGGGCTGACGCTTGGCGTTCCGGCCCTGGAGGTGCCTCTCCGGATAGCGGACAGGATAGCGTGATGGAAGCGAGGGAGCCTCAGGGTAGAGGGCTCTCTGGAGGGTCGTTCAAAGGAACCAGCCAGGCAGGAACTTGTACTAAAACCATCCACTTCTGCAGGCTGACAAAGGGCCATGGGTATGCAAATCCAGGACCTGCCGGGAGAAGGAGGCAGGTGCTGGGACAGTTTCTGAACTCTCTTGTGCCCCTCACTCCCTCTCCTCTCTCAGGAAAACGCTTGCAATACAAGTGCCTCTTCTTCCCTTGTGTAACTTCCGGGAAAACTTTGGGGAGTTTTCGGGATTGCATCTGAGGAGGCAGCAGCCAGGGGCCTGATTTCCTGCCTACCTTCCTCCTTATGTGAGAGACATGGGCCCAGGGAGAACAAGTGCTTGCGGAGGTTGTTCAACCCAGGGAGTGAGCCCCCCACCCCCTTCATAAGGCAGGCCCTAAACCCTGCAGAAGTGGTTCAAATCCTGATGCTACCTCTGATTTGCTGTGTGACGCTGGGCAAATGACTTAACCTCTCCAAACCTCAGTGTCCTCATCTGTAAAATGGGGTTGCTGTGAGGACGAAAGCAGCTCACCAGAGAGACACAGTGAGAAAGGACTCCAGGAAGCCTTTCCTCCTCTGGGGATTTTGGGCATGCACACACACACACTCCATGTGTTTTTCTTTTCTTTTTAAAATACTTTTTTACATTCAATGACCGTGTAACATTATAGCACACCAAGTGAATTTTCCCAACGTGAGTGCATCGTGTATCTATCCGATGTATTTTTCAAGCAGCTGGGTCTGGACTCAAACTGTGCAGTCAGCCATGTGGGATCCAGTGCCTTAACCTCCACTCTATTGGCTGGCCCTCCTCTGGCCATTTTTTGTTTGCTTGTTTGTTTGTTTGTTTGTTTGTTTTGGGTTGTTTGTTTGTTTTTTGGTAGTATCCATTCACATGGTCAAAGCTGGAAGGTACCATGGACAATCATTCAAAAAGATTGGGCACATTTTAAAGTTACTTAGGCAAACATTCTGCCACTACCTCTAGCAACAGGACTGGGAATGGGACCGCTGATGGAGCCCAGACCCTGTGGCCAGGTGTCTAAGATCTCGCTCCTGATGCCCTCAGTAGATGTAGGGATTCATTTTGTCATTTTGCACAAAAATCAAATGTATCAATTTTCAGTCTTTGTTTCGGTCATTTGTATATATTCCCTTAGGACAACCACCTTGTGACTTGAAAAATAGCTTAGAAATTACCCTGGGGACTAGCAGATGGCATAATGTTTATATCACTGAACTCACATAGTCGACTGCGGTTTGAGTCCCAGACCCAGCAGTTAAAACTCACACTGGGCGCACATGTGTGCGTGCCCCACATCCCAAGAGGAGAATGGAGGAGAAGGCATGATCATCCCCCCTGAGGAGTGATATCTTGCTTCCTATCTCTCTGTCTTTTTGGTGATCACACACACCCTATAGCAAAAATCTCTCTAAAAATAAATAAATAAATAAAAGAAAGAATAAAGAAATCACCGTGGCTCTGATGACTTAGAGGTGTTGAAATGAGTTTAAAGGGACATGGAGTGTCCCTTGGGCCCTGTCCTGAGAGTGAAGCAAGCACCTGATCTGAGTCAGAGTTAATCAAGAAGAGAAGGCAAAGACCTGGTTCCCTGGCCCTGGAAGGGGGCAACTTTGTGGGCCAGCACTGCGTTAGCCCTCCTACCCATGCCAGATGGCAGGTGGACCTGTGTTCAGCTTCCACTCTAACTGTGGGAGTCTGGGTGAGTCACCCCATCTCTTTGAGCCCTGCAATCTCCATCTGCCCAGTGGAGAGAAAATGCCATGACTGAGCATGCAGGGGCAAAGAAGGTCATGCATGCCAAGTGCTGCGTAGAAACCGGCATTCAGCAAACGCTTACAGAATTCACAGGAGCTCTGTGCAATATGTGCAGTTATCATCCCCATTTCAAAGACAGGTAAACTGAGGCCCAGGAACGGATGTGCTTTCCCCAGTCACAAAACCAGTCCCTGGTGGAAAGGGCTTAAAGCAGATCTCACCCAAATCTCTGTCTCGGGTGGTTCTCATCCATGGCTGCACCTTGGAACTACCCAGAAAGCGCTTATAAAATTCTGACATGTGGGACCAGCAGGTGGCATAATGGTTACGTCACTGGACTTCCACATGGTCAACTATGGTTTGAGTCCCAGATCCAGCGACTTGAACTCACGCTGGGCATATATGTGTGTGTGCTCAAGATCCCTAGAGGAGAATGGAGGAGAAGGGATTGCGGCATGGCCATCCCCCCTGGGGGTGATTTCTCGCTTTCTGTCTCTCTGTCTCTCCAGTGAGTGCATGCGCCCTATAGCAAAAATCTCTCTTAAAAAAAAGAAAACAAGGACCAGTAGTTGGCGTAATGGCTATGTCACAGGACTCCCATGTAGTTGACCATGGTTCGAGTCCCAGGCTCCATGGTTTAAACTCACACTGGGCACATGTGCGTGCGTGCCCAAGATCCCAAGAGGCGACAGGGGGAGAAGAGATTGCGGCATGGCCATCCCCCCTGGGGGATGATTTCTTGCTTTCTGTCTATTTGTCTGTCTGTCTCTGTCTTTCTGGTGAGCGCACGTGCCCTACAGCAGCCGCCCAGAACAAAAAAAAAAAAAAAAAAAAGAAAGAAAAGAAAACAATCCTGACATGTAAGCCCCGTGTCCAGGAGGTATCTCTATATATATGGGGGGTTTTTTTAGTGTTTTTTGCTATAGGACGCGTGCGCTCGCCAGAAAGACAGAGAAAGATAGAAAGACAGAAAGAGAGAAATCATCCCCCAGGGGGGATGGCCATGCCGCAATCCCTTCTCCTCCATTCTCCTCTCAGGATCCTGGGCACACACGTGCCTGACGTGAGTTTAAGCCACCAGGTCCGGGACTCGAACCGCAGTGGACTACATAGGAGTCCAGCGACATAGCCACTATGCTAACTGCTGGTCCCTGTTTGTTTCAAGAGGCTTTTGCCTTAGAGGATGTGAGTTCACTGGAGAGAGAGAGAGACAGAGACAGTGAGAAGGAAAGTGAGAAAGCACCCTCAAAGGGGTTGGCCATGGCGCAATCTCTTCTCCATTCTCCTCCCAGGATCTTGGGCACATATGGCATGAACTTCACTTCAGTGGGTCCAGTACTCGAACTGTGGTCAGCCGTGTGGGAGTCCAACAATATAACAACTACGCTACCTGCTAGCCCCAAATAGGCATCTGTATTTTCCAAAAGCTCCCTGAGAAGTTTATGATGGAGGCTGACGCTGGCTAGGACAACCAAACCCTATGCCCCTCAAGGTCTGAGGCCAAAAGAAGGACATTGCCCTACAGATTCCTAAAAGCGTCAAACCCGAATCTGAGAGAGCCTTCACTCTAACCACTAGTTTACAGGAGATGCAGGGGACAGAGGAACATGTTAAACAACCCCACGATGAAGACATCTTCTAGACAGATGACCCGTTTTCTCCCACTAAGCAGTACAAGAGAGGAAGAAGGAAAGCAGGACAAAGGGAAGTAGGAAGGAAGGAAGAAAAAATGGGAGGGAAAATCTTTAAGGAACAAAAGAAATGTAAGTCCATGTCTGACGTATGTGCAGCCCTGGTGTTTAGACGAATCTGAACAAACCAGCTACTAACTAAACAGATGTGACCATCAGGAAGTGTGAGTACGAGGGGAGTTTAGATGGCATTAAGGAATGATCGATTTTGAGAAGTTTGATATCGGCAGATCATCGGTAGGAGAACACTGGAGCATCCGTGGGTAAGATGACATCATGTGTCAATTACCTGGAAAAACCCACGAGGGTAAATGATACAGAATGGGCAGAGCTGGGGGTGGGTACTTGGTGTTTATGGTACTAGTCTCATTATTTGGGAGACAGGTTTGAAAATGTCCCTAGAAAAGGAGGGAGGGAGAAAAGAGGGAGCCAGATGGAGGTACAGCAGTGGAACATGACACTGTGCAAGGCTGACCCACAGGGAGGTTCTAGGTCCATGTCCAGAGAACTTCCTGAGGACACCAGGTGCACGTGTGTGGGGTTGGGTGGATCACAGCAGCAGGATCCTGTCGGAGATGCTATCTCCTTATCTCTGTCTTTCTCTCTGTGTCTGTCTCTGTTATTGGTAGAGAAAAAGAATGAATAATTTTTTTAAAAAAAAGGAAGCCCCCCCCCCAACTAGGTGATTCTCATATAGAGCCAAGGCTGAGCCAGAGGCATGCAGTGTGTATGGGGTGTGTCGTGTTTTGTTACATATGCACAGGGGGCCTGATATGACAATGTTCATTGCAGTCTTGCATTAAATAATAACTCCTTGGGACTAGCAGATGGCATAATGGTTGCATTGCTGGACTCCCACGTAGTCAACCATGGTTCAAGTCCTGGACCCTGTGACTTAAAAATCATGCTGGGCATGTGTGCATGCTTGCCCAAAATACTGAGAGAAGGGATTGCGGCATGACTCCCCCCACCACCACCACCACCGGGGGTGTGATTGCTCGCTTTCTGTTTCTCTCTATCTCTCTGGAGAGCGCATGCACCCTATAGCAAAAATCTCTCTTAAAATAATAGTAATTCTTTGCCTTTGGTAGGTGCCCTAAGCACCTTGTTCTGTGGAGTTTTCTTACATACAATTCATTTTACTGCCCTAGGGGCTCTGAGAGGAGTCACAGCCCTACGGTGTCTCCTGCTACTGTAAAGGGAAAGGGAGAGGAGGCTTGGAGGGGAGTCTTGCCTGAGGCTACCCAGCACACCACCCTTCAGCTGGGGTTCCACTTCATCCTGGGGTCTCTCCTGTCCCATGACGGGCTAGGACTTGAGACCCTTGGCAGAAGCCATGTCGTGGCCACACCAGGCTGAGCGCTGCAGGCTGGGCTGTCACTCAGGTGCCGCGGGGCTTGGAGCATCCAAACTCTAAGCACAGTGGAGGACATTCCCGACCCCTGGGTGACTTCTTTAGGCTCTGGGCAATGTCTGCCCACCTCAGGCAATGCCCAGGGCCCACTCAGAATTACCAGCTCTTGTATGACCCTGACGAGTCACTTACCCTCCCTGTGCCCTCGTGTCCCCATCAGTAGAATAAAGACAGAAACCCCAGCTGACATTGCGAAGTGCTGCTTCATGGATTTCCACCTCAGGACACCCAACGAGTTGGGTAGATGTCCCCATTATCTCCTTTCACAGCTGAGGAAACTGAGGCTCAGGGTAAGTGGCAGGCCCAGGCCACACTGTGCTGGAGCCAGGATTCACAGCCAGGCTCCCGGCAGCCCTCTCGGGACAGTAAGCACGCGTGGCCATGACCACCACTCTGACAGTGCAGCGAGCAGCCAGCGCTCCAGTCTGGGCAGTGAGCACACCACCAGGGGCTGATTCTACCTGTTCTGTCCATGTTGGGCCCTCGCCCTTGCTGGGAAGGTGTGGACAGCACGGAGACTGAGAACTCAGGCTTCAGAGCTGACTCCTCTCATCCCGGATCCTCCACTGCCTCAGGTGCTGGGTTTTGAGCAAGTAACTTCTCTGAGACAGTTTCCTCCAAACGGGAGATCGATAGCATCTTCATACAGAGAGGGAGCAAGATACTGTGGGAAGATGCCTAGCACCTAGTAGGCACTCACTACGAGTGACTGCCCCCTGGTTTTAGTCAATCATTATCTTCCCTTCTTTGAGTCTGAGGGTCCTTCTCCCTCCTCCGCTCACACCTGCAAGCTCGCCCCCCTCGGAGAGCTGGACCATGTCCCATCCACGCACCTTGCCCTCCCAGACCCCTGAGGTTGGAGGCTGGGTCTGTCTTTTCTGAGCCCGTCACAGTGCCCAGCACTGACCCCTGCCCTCAGGACCTCCTACCAACCCTAAAACCCTGCTGCTGTTCTCTTTTGGGCAGGTGCCATTGCTTCTTGTGCCTCTTAGGCCCAGATGTGGGCAAGGGCATCGGTGAGTGTGCACATGAACACCTTGGGTGTCTGTGGGCATGGTGATGGGCATGTCTGTGTGTGTTTGTGTGTGGCAGTTTTATGTATGTGATTGTCATGTGTGTACAGACACGTGCCAGTTTGCTTACCTGTGTGTGCATGTGTCCACATGTGCACACATACCTCCCGGACCTGCATTTGCCATGTGTGAGTTCCGTGTGCCTGTGACATGTGTACATGGGAAGACATCAGCACACGAGGATCTGTGCAGGTCCCTGGGCTTGACCTCCTGTGGAGGTTGCGGCTGGGGGCTGTTTGTATCAGGCAGGATAAACAGAGCCATCCTGGTTAGTTGGGCAAAGGCCACCTCGAGACTGGCCCAGGGCCATGGGCTGGAATCCAACAGGAAGCCAGAAAGAGCCTGGCCCCCGGCATCCCCATTGCTTTTGGCATTGCCCTCTCCCACCGCCTCCTGGAGAAGAACCCCATGGGAGCAGCTCTGAGCAGCCCAACCGCACCTGGTGGCCAGACCTGGGTTTCCATCTCAGTCCTCTTGCACGGTGACTGTGACCCTGGACATGTCCTTTCTCTCTGAGCCATGATTTTCTAATCTGGCAAATGGGCTAATAATACTTGAAACACTTGAAGGAAAAGCGACAGGCCGTGTTCTGAGCGCTGTGCACGTGTTTACCTGCTTCACACCTGGTCAGGTGGACTCCCTCAGCATCCCTATTTCACAAAGCGGGGAACAGGTACAGAGAGGCAAAGTTGCCCAAGGTCACGGAGCCATAAGGGGTGGAGGAGTCAGGACTCTGGGGCCACAGCCTACCTGGAGAAACACCATTATGCTCTTGGTCAAAGGAGACGACCATTCCTAGCCCTGGGGATTTGGGGCTAGTGTGGCTGTGGGAGACCTCCTCCCTGCCCCCAGGGTTGGGAGAATCTAGGAGGGTTTGTTAAAGGAGGTGCAGGCTTCAAAGGTGCGATTTGGTGGAGAGAGGCATGCGAAAGGCTCGTTGGACAGTGAGGGATTGAGCAAGGGCATGGAGACTGCAAAGCCCAGGGCAGAATGGGAAAGGACGTATCCAGGCGATAAAGGCTCAGGACTCCCTCTGCCCTCAGACCCACCGCGATGGCCTTCCGTGGGTGGGTGAGTCCCCACCCCACCCCCGCATTCTCTCACCTCTCTCCCTGTGAGTGAGCCTAGGGCAGGTTCTGGTACTTGTCGCACTGGGCCAGTTTCCCATCTGCAAAGTGTTGGTGTTGAGTGCCCAGAGGCTGCAGAGGCCCCAGCCTCAGGCTCTGTCTTGATACCAGGAGAAGACGTCACTGCCCACTGCTCGGAAGGTCTGCTATGCCCTGGGAGGCGCCCCGTACCAGCTCACGGGCAATGCCATCGGCTTCTTCCTCCAGATCTTCCTTCTGGACGTGGTACAGGTGAGCTGGGGACCTGGACCCAGGAGCCAGCAGGGTCTCTTCTTGTCTCAGGAAGGCCAGGGTGTGGGAGGGCCCAGTGACAGGGAGGAAGTCAATGTCCCGTGACCACCCTGAAGGGCCAAACATAGTTGCGCACCATTGTTACAGTTAGAAAGCTTGTTGGCTTCATGCATGGTAGGATGAATTCCCATTTTCAAACTTTAAAAACAAAAACAAAAACAGTGGGAAGATCACCCAGGCTCAACAGAGCCAGCTGACAAATACCCGCTGTTGGCCTTCAGAACCCACACTCCCTTCCCGTCCCCTGGAAGAGGTCATGGGAGGTGGTCCACAGGAGCGAGGCCTCTTGACCAGACAGGCTAGTTCCGCTCAGCCACTCCATGAACAGCCAGGCACGCTCCGGCAAATTACTAATCTCTGTGTCCCTCAATTTCCTCATCTACGAAGCCGGCCTAATAGAATCTACCTGAAAGTACAGAGCAAAGCATGGAATGATGAAAAGTCCCACTTACCTCCAGGGAGAGGGACACAGCAGGGCTGACCTAGTTTCCTATCACCACCCCAAACATAGTGGCCTAAAACCAAATGAATGTGTTACGGTGCATTTCTGGAAATCAGGAGTTCTACATTACCAAAGGGGTTAACTTATATTTTTGAAGGTCAGGATGTCGGCAGGGCTGCATTTTTATGAAGGTTTCAGGGGAAAACCGCCTGCATTCCTCGTCCTCCTTTTTTGTTTGTTTTTGTGTGATTACTTGTTTGTTTTGCAAACAAACCAGATAGAGACAAAGAGATAGATAGAGACAGAGGCAAAGTGAGAAATCACTACCCTATGGCCACACCACAGTCCTTTCTCCATTCTCCTCTCAGGACTTTGGGCATACACACACACACATACACCCAGCGTGGTTTTTAAGCCTCAAGGTCCAAGACTCGAACCAAACAGTTGGCCATGTGGGATCCAGTGCCTTAACCACCATGCCACCTGGCTGGTTCATCTCCTGCTCTTGCTCTCTGATCTCTTCTGTTGTCACACCCTGACCCTTTTGATACATCTGAATAATCCAGGATCATCTCCCCATCTTTTTTTATTTATTTATTTATTTATTTATTTATTTATTTATTTGAGAGAATTTTGCTGTAGGGCGTGAGCACTCACCAGAGTGACAGAAACAGAAAGTGAGAAATCACCCCTCAAGGGAGATGGCCACACTGCAGTCCCTTCTCCTTCATTCTCCTCTTGTGATTTTGGGCCCACACACACATGTGCTGAGTGTGAGTCTTAAGCCGCCAGGTTCAGGGACTCGAACTGCAGTCAACTGCATGGGAGTTCAGCAATGTAACCATTACACCACTAGCTGGTCCCTGACTCCCCACCCTAAGTCCCTTAACTTATTCATATCTATGATACAATTTTGCCATGTAACATAACATGTTCGCAAAGTCTAGGGGTGGGGCAGGGCCTGGCTTCCCTGTCTTGAAGACATATTTCTTAGGCAGAGTGGTAGGTACACAGGTGGTCATCGTATTGTTCTTTATGCTTTGGGCATTGTAATAATTTTGATCTTACGTAGAATACCCTGCCTCATGGCCTGTGTCGTGAGGATTGACAGAGCTTCATATAAAGTAAAGTGCTCAGGCACCAGGTGCTCCACAAAAGCCAGTTGTTATTCATATGCTTACTGTTACTCTTATTGTTATTATTTATTTATTTATTAGAGGTTTTTGCCTTAGGGTGCATGCACCTGCTGGAGAGAGAGAGAGAGAGACAGAGACAATGAGAGGGAAAGTGAGAAATCACCTCTCTGCGGGGATGGCCACGCCGCAATCCCTTCTCCTCCATTCTCCTCCTGGGACCTTGGGCACGCACACACACATGCCCAGCATGATTTTCAAGTCTGGGACTTGAACTGTGGTTGGCCATGTGGGAGTCCAGCAACGTAACCGCTATGCCATCTGCTGGCCCCTGTTACTCTTATTATTAAAGCGTGGTGGTCTGAGGGCCAGAGGTGTGGCCCTCTAGCCAGCTGTATGACCAAGTCCTTTAGATGTCCCCCCCTTCATCCCACTCTCTAGGACTGCAAGATAATGAGGGAGGATAAGATCAGGATTCCACACCCGCCTGAGCAAATTGGCAGAACTGGTGCCCATAGGGAAAGCTCGGATTCTCCAAGAAGCACCCTCTGATTTCAGACCATGATAGAGGGCCCTAAATAGTAACCAGCTCTCTGATCGGCTGCACAATCTTGGACCAGTCACTTCCTGTTTTTGAGCCTCCGTTTCCCCATCTGTAAAATGGACATCGGCCCTTCATCATAGGGTTGTCCCCAGGGGTTAATGGGGGATTTAGAGAAGGCGCTTAGCAGCGGTGTGTTCATGGTAAGTGCTCTATACATTTACAGGGGATGCGGGCTTGGGGGATGGAGAACCCAGAGGGAGACATGGAGAGAGACAGAGCTAAATAACGCTTGACTGGGTGCCCATCCCCACCCCCACAGGGAAAGGCAGAGGGGCAGTCCTGGGTGCAGGGTGAGGCCTGAGGGCAACTACGCTCCTTCCCTAACTGGTCCCAGACCCAAGCCCAGTCTCAGAGTCCAGTGTGGGGACCCAGGTCCCCTCAAGAAATTGTGCTTCTTCTTTCCCTTCTTGAGTCAGGATTTTCCTCCTGATCCTGGATCTGCTATAAATGCTTGGAAAGCAAGGCTCATTTGGGGAGAAATTTTCCCCACTGATCCCACCTGGCAGGGGCTACGGCTCCAGGGCCTTCTTGGAAGCCCCTCCCTCTGGGTTCTGTTCCTCTCTCCCACACTCCTGGGCCCACTTGCTGCGACTATCTGGGTGCCTGGGGCTGCATCTCATGGCTCTGCTCTGCTCCTTAGGTCAGTATCGCCTCCCAGCCACACACCAGCTAGTGCTCAGGCCTCTCTCCCTGCCAGGCTGAGGTCTCCCCTCCCTACTGGGCCCGCCCTACCTGTGCCCACCCTTGGCTGGTGCAAAGGGCCAGCTGCAGCTACCTTGATCCTACCAGGTGACCCTGAGTAAAGCCCACCCTTCCCTGTGCCTCATTTCTTCATCCGTCCCAAGGGGACAGTGACACTCTCCTCGAGGATCTGTTGGATGCCTCAGAGAGGCTGCGACAGCATCCCATCCTGGCAAGCAATGGGTTGATAATTCAACCTATAAATAGTTATTAAGCAGCTACTATGTGTTAGACTCTGGTGCAGGTGCTGAGGATACAGCAATGAACGAAAAAGCTTTAGTTCCTCCCCTCACGGAGCTGACGTTCTGTCAAGGATGACAGATCATTTTTTCCCCCAATTAAAAAAGTTTTTTAAAGACTTATTTGTTTAATTTTGTTTATTATTACTATTTTGATTTGTTACAGGACACACACTCTCACCAGAGAGAGACAGAGAGAGAAAGTGAGAAAGAAAGCAAGGCGCTGGGTCCAAGACTTGAACCTGTGGGAGTCAGTCATGTGGGAGTCCAGCACCTTAACTACCACACTCCTAAAAATTTCATTGTAATGCCAGAGGGTGTGTGTGCATGCACTGGGGATGGAAGGAGGCAGAGACAGAAAGCCCTTTCCAACAGGGCCTTGTCACCCTGCAATCCTTTTTTCTCTAACTCTCCATTCCATCAGAATCTTGGGCATGTCCGGCATGTTTTTCAAGCTGCCAGAACCAGGACTTGAACCCTGGTCAGCTATGTGGGATCTGGCTTCCTCTGTGCAGTGCCTAACTGTTGCACTATGGTATAATTTTTTTTTTTTTTAACTATAATGTGTTCTGAGGTGATGAAGTCTATGGAAAAAGGCAAAACCAGGTGAGGAATAAAGAAAGAGGTTGGAGGCTGGCAGCTGTTCTCAAACTTTGTGGCCTTAGGAACCCTTGATGTTCTTAAGATTGAAGATCCTGGGGATGGCAGATGGCATAGCAGTTATGTTGCTGGACTCCCACGTAGCCAAACCATAGTTCAAGTCCCAAATCCGGTGGCTTGAAACTCATGCCAGGCCCAAGATCTCAAGAGAAGAATGAAAGAGAAGGGACTGTGGTGTGGCCATCCCCCTGGGGGGTGATTTCTCACTTTCCCTCTCACTTTTCCTGGCAAACACTCACATCCTTAGTAAAAAAAAAGAAAAGAAAAAAGAAAAAAGAAAAAACTCTTAAAAAAAAAAAACATTGGGGACCAGCAGGTGTTGTAGTAGTTAGGGCTCTGGACACTCCCACATGGCAGACCAAGGTCTGAGTCATGGACCTGGTGGCTTGCTTTCTCTCTTTCCTTCTCTCTGTGTGTCTCTTTTTGGTCAAATTGAAATAAATAAATGAATAAATAAAATAAAATTAAATAATTCTAAAAAATAGATTGAAGAAGAATTTTTCTTTATGAGGGCTATATATATATTAATATTTACCATCTTAGAAATTAAAACAGAGAATCTTTCAATATTTACTTGTTAATTCATTTAAAATAACAATAAACTCATGACATATTAATGTAGATAACTTTTTTTTTTTTTTTTTTTTTGCCATAGAGTGCATGCATTCACCAGAGAGATACAGAGAGAAGGAAAATGAAAAACCACCCCCAGGGGGAATGGTCATGCCACAGTCCTTTCTTCATTCTCCTCCTGGGATTTTGGGCACACATGCACACGTGCCTAGCATGATTTTTAAAGCTACCCGGTCCGGGACTCGAACTGCATTGGGCCATTTGGGAGGCCAGTACCTTAACCACTGTGCCATCTGCTGGCCCCATAACACACTATTTTTTTAATGAAAATTGTTATAGACAGAGTGGTGTTGTTCCAGATATTGCAGATTTTTCAATTCTCTTATCTCCTCTATTCAAGTGGTTGCAACATCATGGCCTGGTAGTCTCTGGAAAACTCCACTTTGCATTCATGAAAGAATGAAAAGATAAAGGTGAATAATGACTTAATGTCATAAAAGTGCTTTGTCCTCACGGACCCCCTAAAGAGATCTTAAGAACTCCCAGGGGTTCCTGGGCCCCCCTTTGCAAAGGGCTGTCACGTAGGCTAGTCGAGGACAGTCTTTTCAAGGTGGGAACATATGAGCAGAGATCTGGAAGGAGGGAGGGAAGGAGCCCTGTGGAGACCCATGACACTGCGTTCTAGGCAGAGGGAACAGCGGGTGCGAATAGAGCTGGGCCACAAGTGAGGGGGCAAGAGTGACAGAGCAGGAGTGCTTGGCCCACAGGCAGATAGCCTGCAAATGCCGCCAACTGTCCCCAGCGTCTAGGGAGCCAGAACAGGGACACCAGTCTCCTGCTGACCTTCCTGCCCTCTCTCCATTCCAGCTGGAACCCTTCCACGCCTCGTCCATTCTCTTCCTGGGCCGGGCCTGGGACGCTGTGTCTGACCCTACAGTTGGCTTCCTGGTGAGCAAAAGCCCCCGGCGGAAGTGCGGCAAACTCATTCCCTGGTGAGTGTTGGCCACCCCTCTGGCCAGTCTGGACAGGTGGGCTCTGAGAAGCAGCTGATGCTGTCCCTTACCAAGGGACAAGAGTAAATCCCTTTTGAAACTTTTGGGACGAAGAAGACCAATGAAACCAAGAATGGTCCCCAAGACCTGAATTCAGAGCCTTCCTCCTTGACTCTTTCTCCATGCTCTGCACTTTTCCTCTCTGTAAAATGGGCTTTCAGCTGGATTCCAGGAAGTGGCACACGTAACAGTCAGGGACGTGTGCTGTTGGATTCCGCACACTGTGAGTTCCTGTATCCCCAGATCAGCCAGTGCAGTTGGTTTGGACAAGCACACTGCAAGCTGCAGCGAGCACCTGGGACATGGGACTCCTGCCGGTGATGGGGGTCGGAGGGCTTCTGGCTGACAAGGTGGCAGCTTGGCTCAGATGATCTCTTGGTAGCCTCCCTCCTGGGCCAGAGAGTCATTCTTTTCTAGATATTTCCAAGGGTCATCCTTTTCTAGATATTTCTAGAAGAGTCCCAAGGGTAAGGCCCCAATCAGCTGACACAGGCTTTTGGTAGGTGATTTATCAGAGACTATGAATCTGAAAGAGATGGGACAGCTCCTCTTCCAGGCAGGCCAGACAGGTTCCCATACCCCAATGGTGGCCAGAATTGGAGAGAGATTTGGCCATCTGGGCATCTCAGCTCACCAGTCAGATGGCAGAGATTAGAAGTGTGTGTATGGGGGGCAGAAGTCCTTGGGGTGGGAGTTATCACAAAGGTTGGGCAGTGGTCTAGACCTAGGCCTTGAGGCTCCAAGGACACAGGGACAAGTGACCAAGAGTCAAGCACCGAGGGCCCTGAGCTGGGCCTGGATTCGAACACTTGCCCTTATGGGCTATGTGTCTCGAGACAAGCTACCCCTCTCTCTGAGCTTGAGCTTCCTGGTTTCTAAAGATCGTAGTCACATCTTCCTCCGAGCACTACTATGCGCACTACACCAGGTAACGCATGGGTTTGCGCGTGAGCATCCCAGGGCGACTGGACCGGAGCTGGAAGCAGCTGGGTCGTGTGCTCCGACAAGTTCAGTAACAGCCCTCGGGAGTGCCAGAGGCAGCGGAGAGCTTGAGCGCCAGGAAATGAGTTTCTGTAATCCTGGCCTTGTGTGGGATAAGGGTTATGACAAATGAGAGAAATGGACTCTCCCGTATCTGTCAGTCAGTAAAGGTTGGTGAGCACCTCCACAGTGCCAGGGCCACGGGGACCTAGGGAGTCTCCTGTGTGGCCTGCAGGGGAAAGACAGAAACGGGGACAGCAAAGTGACAAGAGCAAGATGGGCTCTGGAAATGGCCCATGCTGGCAGACATGGACACCGTCCCTGACGGGGGACTTTGGAGCTGGACCTGGAGGTTGCCCAGGAGTCAGCCGAATGGTCAGAGAGCAGGTAAGAATGTTTCTGGAAGAGGGACAGAGGGAGCAAAGGCCAGGGAGCTGGGGACAGCACAGTGCATCCTGGGAGCTGAGCAGGGCATGCATGGGTGAAGAGCTTTGAATCACTCTTTGTAATAGACGTCGTCGTTTCTAAGCCAATTTAAATGTCCATCCACCCCGAGGGTTAAGGAAATCATGGTGTATTCACATAGAGGGATACAATGCAGCCATTGATGAAGAGTGAGTGCTTGATGAATGAAGATGGATGTTCTCCAAGACAGCTAAGTCCGTTTCACAGAGCTCGCTGTGTGCCAGGCACTGTTCTGAGCCCTTTATGTGTATTAACTCATGATCTTCACACTTCCCCCCCCCCCCCCCCCCACATTAGAGAGTGGAGATAGATACATGAATAGAGCCGAATCCTCAAATTCACGCAACCAGAAGGTGAAAGCGGGGAATGATGACCTTGAGGGCCTGGGTCTACCGCCTGGGCTCTTAAGTACCAGACCACCACCCTCTCTCACTAGGGGGAGAAAAGGCAGAAAAGAATGTGCCTTTGCTTCAATCCATATAAACTAAGATGTTTATAAATATATAATGTTTCCATCTACACAGAGTCCCTCCCCCAAAAGACACCCCAGGGAGTAATTGTGGTTGTATGTGGGGGTAGGGGCAGGGGTCTCCAGGTGGGGGACTTATTTTATACCGTCTATCTTTTTTTGTACTTTAGAATTTTTTAAAATTTTATGTATTCATTTCTCCTAAGAGAGACAGGCCAGGATAGACAGAGAGGCACCTCCAACACACCACAATCTACCCCCAGCCTCAGCTGGGGTTATGAGCATATATGTGTGCCTGGCATGTACAGGAAGACCCAGGTCTGTCTCACGTGGCTTCAGCACCACAGCCTGTGTCCCTACTGTGCCACTGCGACTGGGATTTTAGTGTCTGTTAGAGATCCTGCTAGGCCCTCCCAGGGCCTTGTAGTTAAGGGAGCAGATCCCATGGCTGACTGTGCATCAATCCTAGCCCTGGTGGCTTGAAAAACCTGCTGGTCACATGTGTGTACACACCTCAAATCCTGATAGGATGAAAGAACAGAGGAGAGGAGATCTCAGTGTGGTCACACCCTGTTGGCACGCTCTTTCTCTCTCTTCCTTTGTCTCTCTCTGTCTCGGTCCCTCTCTGGCAAGTACAAGCACCCTGTGACGATTAAAAAAAAATCATGTGGGAAGAGAATGGATTTATAGCTTATACACTGTGAATGGACGTGCATAGGGTTAGGGTCACCACAGAAAATGAGTCCTCCTAGGTGTATGCCCAGGAGAAATATTTGAGCCCATAGGTCCGAAAAGACATCTGGATAGGCCCAACTGGAATCAGCTAAAGTTTGCCTTCATGATGTAGTATGTAAATAAACATGTTGTATTTTTTTATAAATATTTAATTTTATTCATTATTATTATTTTTTATAATTATTTAATTTTATTCATTATATTATTATTTTATTCATTATTATTATTTATTGTAATTATTTAATTTAATTCATTATTTTTATTTGTTATAGGACATATAATAAATTACAAAAGAGACAGAGAATGAGAGAGAGAAAGTGAGAAGTCCGTCGGGTCCAGGATCCAAACCATAGTCAACCATGTGGAAGTCTAGCACCTTCACCACCACAGCACCCACTGGCCCCAACGTGATGTCTTTTTTAAATGGAATACTTCACAGCAAGGCAAATGAGCAGAATGCTGTCACATGCATACATACATGGAAGTCAGGATCAAGGGCATAACTGGGACAAAGAGGACACCTGGAAGGGGACCTAAGGGGACTTCTTGGGGGCTGGCCACACGTATATCTTGGTCTGGGTGACAGTTTCAGAAGTGTGTTCAATTTGTGAAAACTCATCAAGAAGCAATTGAGACTTTCCAATTAAAAAACAAACAAACAAACAAACAAAAATACCTTGCCATAGGGCATGTGTGCTCATGATAGAGAGAGAAGGTCCTCCCAAGGGGGATGGCCACACACCAATCTCATCTCTTCGTTGTCCTCTTGGGATTTTGAGCACACATGTATTCATGCACCCAGGGCCTCCCTATATGTGCTGGGCATGTGTGTGTGTGGTCTGTGATCCAATCTGGCTGAAGCTGGAGTGGATAGTGGTATGAATACCATGTTGGGGGTGTCCCCCACCCCTCTCTCTCAAGAAACAAATAACTTGGAAAAAATTGCCATTACAAAAGAAGGACCAGGGGCCAGCAGGTGGCTTAGTGGTTAAGGTGCTGGACTCCCACATGGTTGACTGTGGTTCAAGTCCTGGACCTGGAGGCTTGAAAACTATGCTGAGCACAAATGCAAGTGTGCTCCAGATCCTGAGAGAGTAGAGAAGGGATTGCAGTGTGGTCATCCCTCCTGGAGAGTGATTTCTCACTTTCCCTCTCACTGTCTTGCTTTGTCTCTCTCCAAAGAGCACATGCACCCTATGACAAAAAACCTTGAAGGGGAGAGGCATTTGTCATAGCCTAGTGGATAAAGGAGCCAGATCCCACATGAGTAATAACAGTTTGAATCCTAGTCCCCACAGCTTAAAAAAATACACCGGGTGGGGACCAGCAGGTGGCATAATGGTTACATCAGGGACTCCCATATGACTGACCAAGTACCAGACCCAGTGGCTTGAAACTCACGCCAGGTGCATGTGCATGCGCACCCAAAATCCCAAGAGGAGACTAGAGGAGAAAGGACTGGAGCATGGCTATCCCACGCTGGGGGGTGATTTCTCACTTTCTGTCTCTGTCTTTCTCTCGTGTCCTATAGCAAAAGTCTCTCTCTAAAAAAAAAAAAAAAAAAAAAAAAAAAAAAGAAAGAAAGAAAGAAAAATACACTGGGTGTGCATGTGTACATGCCCCAAATACTGACGGGATGGAAACACGGAGGAGATTTAGTGTGACCGAAGCCCATTGGGAGAGGAGTGCTTTCTTCCTTCTCTCTCTCTCTCTCTCTCTCTCTCTCTCTCTCTGGTGAGTACACATACTACTCTCTGGCAGCTAAATAAATAAATAAATCCAAATTAAGAAAAAAATGCAGTTATATGGACTTTGAAAGCCTTTTTAGCTTGGAATCTTTCCAATGTGTCAGAGTCCTCATTTCTGCCTGAAGCGAGCCCGGGACTCTGAACAAGCATATTCTGGTTTTAGAATGTTGAAGTCTCTGAATAAAAAATTGTTTCGTTAGATCCTCATGATATTTAACTTAAATTAGTATTAACATTTTAAAATCTGGAAATTGCACTCATAAACTCTCCAAATGTCCGGTTTCTTTAAAAAAGAAAAACAAGAGACCAGCAGTTAGTATAATGGCTATGTCGCTGAACTCCCACATAGTCGACCGCAGTTCTCATCCCAGACCCGGTGGCTTAAAACTCACGCCGGGCGCGTGTGCGTGCGTGCCCAAGATCCCGAGAGGAGAATGGAGGAGAAGGGATTGCGGCATGACCATCCCCCCGGGGGGTGATTTCTCGCTTTCTGTCTCTCTGTCTCTCTCTCTCTGGCGAGCGCACACGCCCTATAATGCAAA